GTCTAGACCTGCTCTATTTGAAAAGTGTCCTGAGATAACTTCTGTTATGAATTGGCGCTATACAAATAAAACTGAATTGAAATTGAAATACCAAAATCTAAATATGCTATACTGTTGTAATAAACATTTCATTGCCTGACTGAACTGTTTATATTGATAATATATAACTCTTGTCATAATTATTTCTAAATTATTGTTCTACATCAGTAATAGTGCATCTTACTATTAGTGGTCCAGGTCTGTTACACTGTTAAACCTGACAACCCATTTTTATAAAAAGTATGCATCCAAAAATTCTTAATGATGCCCAAAGTGTAAAGATTTGATGCTAGTCACATAAAAACCTTGCTACCATTTTGATAATCTATTCATTGTAAATTAAGTATATTAAGCAGTGTGTAGGATTAAGTGGCATCTAGCAGTATAGTTGAAGACTGCAACCATTTCAATACAGCTCTTCCAAGTGTGTACAGGACAAACTACAGTGGCTATCTAACTCGCGAATAACACAAAAGACCCTATCTACTGTAGAAACATGGTGATTCAACATGGCGGAAGAGGACTCGCTCCCTCTGTAGATAGAAACAGCTTATTCTAAGGTAACAAAACAACCATAATTATCAGGTGATTATACACTAATGAAAACATAACATACTGTATCTTTATGTATTTATATTTGGACATTTGTGGTCAGATTAGTGTCAAATATTGGAGAGAAAGTTTGACATTATACAGTATATTTATAGGGTAACAACATACACAGATTCACAAATTATTTGCACCACATCACATGCAATCTCTTATGTAGTAATGTGAAAAACTAGAAATGCAAAAACACAGATAATTTGACTACCTCCATAAGTCATGTGTGCCCTGGTGCATGCTGGGAAGCCTTACTCACCTACTGTGGCTCAGAGGTAGAGTGGGTCGTCCACTAATCGGAAGGTAGGCTGTCCGATCCCCGGCTCCTCTCGCTGCATGTCGAAGTGTCTTTGAGCAAGACACTGAACCCCAAATTGCTCCCGATGAAGTGCATCAGTGTATGAGTGTGTATGAATGATTATTTTCCATTCTGGTAAGCAGTTGGCACCTTGCATGGCAGCCACTGCCATCACTGTATGAATGTGTGTGAATGGGGTGAGTGTGGCATATAGTGTACAGTGCATTGAGTGAGACTAGAAAGGCGCTATATAAGTACAGTCCATTTACCATTTACCATTTACTCTACAGACACTAAAGTACATAACCTCATTGACTCTGATGTTTTACAAGTAAATGTACATCATTCTTAATGTAGTAGGGATAAGGAATGTAGGGGATGTTCCATTTAAGGAAGGGATGTGCCTACCATAATTGGCATTCTGAGGCAGTTCTGTATGTAGTTAAGCCTGTATGTGCACAAGTAGAAGGATATAGAATAGGTGAGTTTTATTATTGTTCACTGCATAAAGTGAGAACAATTCCAACTTTGCATCATTGTACTATTGTGTTATTGTATAAATTCCATTGTTGTTTTTTCTGTATCTATATTTATATCTGTAGTCTACATAGTAGTTAAATGATTATGTTTACCTTTATTGCTTTTTGTCTTTGAGCTGTATGTCTATTTCTCTTTAGTACACTGAATCTGACTCTGTACTAGCAGTCAAGTTTCTTGTATGTGTGAACATACTTGGCCAATAAAGATGGTTCTATGCATGCTTTGATTAAATGGTAATGGTAAATGGACCTGTACTTGTATAGCACCTTTCTGGTCTTCCGACTACTCAAAGCCCTTTCACACACATTCACACAGAGATGGCAAAGCTCATCGAACAGAAACTAACACATTTATACACATTCACACACAATCTGGGGTTCATATCTTGTTCAAGGATACTTCGACATGTGGCAGGAGGAGCCGCTGTAAACCAACAACCTTCCGATTAGGGGACGACCCGCTCTGCCTCTGCACCACAGCTGCACCACATAAATATATTTAACCTGATACTGGTTACTTGTAGGAATTAATTCAGTTACAGGGAGCCAATCCAATCAGCTCCAATTTATGCCAAAAATGTAACTTCTGAATAGCTACAACTTCCACTGGAACATGCAGGCTCCAATCTATGAACAGGCACCATCAAGCGTAAATAATTTTTGTTTCTGTGGAACGTGAATTTTTCTACAGGAAAACATAATTGAACAGGTCAATTATTTTCCACACAGTCTTTCTTGCCAGTTTCATGGGTTAGAAAAGTAATTTGTGTCCTACACAATAGTACACATGTATTCATTGTTTTCATTCTGTATTTTGGCCAAAGTGCTAGTCTGACTAGCAGTGGCTGTGTTTTGTTATCAGTGCCTGTTTGGAATACTTTGTTTGTACTGTTTGTACATCCAAACCCTGTACATGCCTGTAGCATTTTTCTAAGCAGTGCTTTTTTGGCATAGAGCTCATTAGATTCCCCACAGTAACGGAATTAATTCCTACGTAACCAGTATCAGGTTTAAATTCTAACATTTATAACAAGAAGTTGCCAGCTGCACAACAAAATCAACAGTAAGTCGCCTAATTCTGATTAAGTAGCAGATCTTGTCATCTTAAACTGACCGCAGAGATGCAGGTCATATCGAGACTGCTGTATGTATGTACATTTCTATCTATGTGCTGTACACCCAAAATGAAGCTTCAAAACTAAATGATGGTGTCATATTCTCAAAGTAAGCTTTGGCACAGTGCTTCAACAGAAACTGTCCTTCCCATTTCACACACTTTCTTGGCATGTTTTGCGTGTATTGGATAGTGACAGTAAAGAGGCAAACAGGAAACGGGGAGAGGGTGGTATGAAAAGCAAGCTGGAAGCGAACCGGCAATGGTTGTGACCATGCAAGCACTCCACATACTTTTAACTTAACTTTTGAAGTGCCAGTATCAGATGTAACATGACAGGTGCCAGGTGCTCCTGTTACTTTGGCCACTAAGTAAGTAAGACAAACTAGCAATGATGATATTTACTTTTGGAGTGTATTGTAGACCTATCGTAGTGGACTGCATTATTATCTGCAGGTGTTGCCATTTTTGTTAATTTATACTCTGAGGCAGGGGCAGATACAGGGGTGGCACAAATTCTTCATTTGTGGGCTTTTCCAAGCAAATATTGATATATGTGATTGTTTGCAATTAAATCTACATTTATTTCTGCCACCCCTTAAAGTCTCCATGCCACCCCATGAGTAGTCCACTCATGCTCCGAGGTTAAATAAAACAACACATTATCAGGGACCTATGTGCATATGAGCTACCAAGGTAGAAAAGATGGACGATGGACAGTCAAGTGCTGGCTGATAATTAATATTACATACTAAAAAATGTTTACTTTTGGTTATGCTGTGTGTGGGCAGTCATGTGTATTTGACATCATGGTATTAAATGAAGTTGAAGAGAATAAACAAAACTGAATTCAAAAGGCATTTAAATTAAAATAGAGTAAGATTATCAGAGTTCTGACCTATATTTAAATGCAACACAATTGTGTCGAACCTCTATAGTGCTGTAAGGCAGAACAACTGTAACAACTTCAACCTTAAACATTGGCAAGACACTGTAAGTAGATATACAAATTTTGAAGTTCTTCTTCACAGGAATCATTTTGAGTATCACTGTCCTTCAATGGGCAAAAGCTTTTGGCACATGCACACTTTTATTTTGCTCATGCTTATAAGTGGACAGCCAGCACAAAGAACACAGTGGAGAAGTTCCCACAGGCTCACATTTTGGGCCTGTGTCAAAACCTAGACTGTGAACTTGTACAACTCTCAGACATGAGGCGGAGACTCCTGATGACTTAGTCGTTCTCTTCATTTCTGGAAGTCTCCATATTTCCCCTGCTAATGTACTTGATGAATTGGCGGTAGAAGGTTACGATTCGTGTTTGGCCCAGCTTGAAGGCCATGGACATGATAGCCATGCCAACAATGATGAAAAGTGAGGTTAGCATGAAATACTTGGGATGATTAGGTACAATGTCACCAAAACCAATGGTTGTGAGCGTGATGAAGCAGAAGTAGTAGGGGTCAAAACCCTTAAATTCAGTTTCCCACAATGGTAAAATCAAACCCCCAAACAAAATATAGGCAAACACAATAAAAAGAATCAGTACAAAGGGTACATCCAGCATTTCCATTCCATCCCCTAACCCTGTGAAATCCCATATGGCATATCCTTTTGGTGGTGGCGGCAGCTGGTCTAGCTCTGGGCAGGAGAGGGTCCTGAGTAGTGGGACCTTTCTAAGTAGGTTCTCCCTGGCGATAATCTTCTCAAATATCTCTTTGTTGTTTTGGAGCTGGATAGACTTGTGCCGTACATCCACCTGGCTGTGCAGCACCTGCCGGATGTCGAGTGGTTCACGGACTACAATGTCATGACTGAAAACAAAGGTACCGTCCTCCAGGGCCCGGTGTCTTGAGTCCCCAGCCCTTTTCCGAGCCTTCCATGGTGACCAAGTGTGGGAGCGGAGGATTTTGCAGAATTTGTGAATCCGTAAATAGGTTCTGGACATCAGCATAGCGAGGAAGTCTCCTACATCGAGGATGACCAGAAGCATGAGAGGGATGCCCACCATGGCATACAAGACACACACCACCTTACCAGGCAGAGTAACTGGATAGATCTCCCCATACCCTGCAACAGCAATGCAGAACATGGGTTTAAAGACATCTGTGATTTAGCTTAAATCTTTGTAGGTTATAAAGCAACAGAGACACAAACACTCAAACTGTAACCACAGCAATCACAACATGGAAATATAAAACCATGGCTTTAAGGATGTTTCTACCAAAGTGAAAGTTCAAATGTGGAGTGTTTCTAGGGTCCAGGCCTCACTGACAAAAACACAACTTTATTTCATTTCACAGGGGTTGTGAAGCTCAAAAAAATGTATTCACTGTTTTACAGATGCTTCTTTCACAATGTAACCATATGGGAAAAGTATTTTTGGGCCATATGTGCATCACATAATGGATGCTACTACTGCAGTGTTTTTTGGGTGGTCTGCGTGTCAAGTTTGCCTTGACCCACACTGGTTAATGGTCATCACCTACAGTATCTAACGTTGTGGACTTACTGGGCATATTGCACATGGTGTACTGTCTGCCAGATACTTCGTTCTGGTGGAAAAAGCTTTAATCAATTTTATTTTCAACTTATGGATAACTTTACCATCAGGGACACAACATTATGAGTAGCTATAAGGGAACAAATGAGGAACAATTCAATTCAATTCAATTGTCTCTTGCTGCTGTCCCCTTGTCGTTGCTGCTGTCGCCGTCGTCACCGCTCTTTGTCAATATCGGGGTCATCGATCATGTACTGTTAATGTAGTTGTTGCTTCTGTTTTTTGCTCTACACTGTTTTGTCTTCTCTTGTCTCTCTGTGTCTCTCTCTCTCTCTCTTCTCTCTCTGTCTCCCCGCAACTGGTCAAGGCCAGGGAGTGGACCACCCACCTTTAGAGCCGGAATGGTCGGTCCGGAGGGTTTCTGGGCCGTTAAAAGGCCAGTTTTTCCTGCCCCGCTCGCAAGTGCTGCTCATGGTGCGTACTGTTTGGTTCTCTGGGTAAGTTATAAGGAGTTTCGGGTCTGACCTGCTCTATTGAAAAGTGGTCCTGAGGATAACTCTGTTCATGAATTTTGCGGCATCATAC